CGATTTGCCAAAAGGTCGATATTACCCTTTATATGTTTTGTGAGGGGGGGGGGGGTGTACCAAAGCGGGGCTCAAAATACAATGATTCATGAGCAACACAAAATGGCGAAACCCATTGGTTTTACATAGCGAACAGTCCACATATGGTTCACTTTATTCAAAATCATCAATTTGTTCCTTTTACTATATGTCAATGGATTTCATCATGAAAATTTGCACATACACACTATACTGTTAGCGACCAACCTACTCTCGCGTAGGATGGGCCATGTGCTGCTGGGCTTGGGCTGCAATGAGGCCTTGAGAGGACTACAAATACACATGAGATTTCTACGAACAACTTGGTTAGGAACTTACGGCTTCGGCCTCTCATGTTTCTGTCTGTTCCTCCTCGGTTGTTCTTCTCCTTCCCTATAATGGTTAGAACTTTGTCAATCCATGGTTGTAATCCCAATTGATGAGGAATAGATCCTTGTGAGGACTTTGTTGTTAATATATATTACTCTCTCCATGCAGAATTACGTGTCACGGAAATGAGTAAAAATGAATTTATCTAGAACTAAATTACGTCTAGATATATCAATTTCTCTGGCAAATATTTTCAGGCGGAAGGAGTACATCCGTAATAATGTGGATTTTTTTACAGTATTTTGAATAATTGGAACATTTTTTAAAAAAGATTCAAAATAACAGCTCCATGCACCAAAAGGCATTACTATAATGAATCGTTTGAATAAACATATGTAAACAGAAAAAAAATCTTGTAGCTGATGAACTACTAGCAGTTTAGTTCCACGGTTGCAGCAGGTCGCTATTCGTCGAAGCAGCAGCTAGCAGATACTAGAATGCACTAGTTAACTCTGTTGCAAAGGCTCCTGATCTCTCCTTGGGTGCCGGTGAGCACGTCGAGGTCGCCCATCTTCACCATCGCGGCCGCGAACCGCGACATCCACGCAGTCCTGTTGCGCGCGTAGAGGTCGACGAGCGCCGCCGTGTCGTCCCGCGTCAGGAGCGTCGCGTCCGACGTGAACGGCACCTCGCGCGTCTGCACGTTCCTGTAGTACTGGTTGTCGAGCCGGAGCCCCGTGACCGGGTCCAGGTGCACCACCCGGTCCCGGCGCCCCGTCGCGGCCGGGCACCGCGCCCGGAGGGACCTGCCGTAGGTGGCGTTCATGTCTGCTGCGACCCGCGGGTAGAGCCGGAAGGCGATGGCTGAGCAGTGGGTGCGGCCGAAGGAGTGCGCGCCCGAGAGCGTGACCATGTCGTCGGCATTGAGGCCCTTGGCGGCGAAGCTGTCGACGAACCGCGAGGCGTTGGAGAAGGGCGGGGGCAGGCTGTTGAGCACCTCCGACGCGTTGGAGACGCGGCCGTCGCGCCGCCCCGCCGGCACCTCGTACTCGATGCCCCCCAGGAGGCCGCTGGCGTCGCGCGCGGCGAAGGCCACGATGTCGGCGCCGGCACCGCCGCTCGACCACGCGCTTGGCGCGCTCGATGACGCCGTAGCCCCTGAGGCTAGGGCTGTTCGCCTGCGACGCCTTCTCCACGGCGTCGTCGCTGCCCGGGACCGCGTCCAGGAGCACGGATGCATCACACCCCTGTACAGTGCACACTAACGTTGGGATTAAGTTGTTGACACGGAACATACAAGACGGATAGAACAGAAAGAAGCTGACCCTGACGAAGCAGTCGTGGAAGAAGAGGCGCACTAGCCCGGCGCCGATGCCGGGGTCACGGCGGATGGCGGCGTGGACGACGGTGCGGACGAGCTGCTCCGCTCTCGGGCAGGTGTAGTCGTAGAACCCGACCTCCAGCTGCGCGTCAGACAATGCGACGAAGAGCATGGCCCATGCCAAGGCCAGAACGAGAGGGGCAGGAGACCTCCGGTGAAGGACGCGTCCTCCGCTCATATCTGTGAGACTCCGTGTTCGATCTTTTGATTTCTGTGAGCTCGAATAGGAATAGAGGAGAGTGTGGCCATGGCGGTAATTTATACGCGTCGACTGGTCTCGAGACCAACGGCAGCGGGGTGAACCGGAGCACTGAACTGGTAGATGTGCATGAAGTGATCAGAGTTGACCTCCGGTAAGTTTATTTGCATATCTGTTGCTGCGAGCTCTTCTAGTGCTAGTGTTCCGCGCAGTTTGTCGGGTCAAACTGACATCACTGTACTGTATTACTACTAGTCGTTGCGCCATTGACATTTGTGCCACGTTTACTGCACTATCTACTGCCCTGCAGGCTACCGTTGGGTAGGTCAGCCTTTGGACGAAATGGACGTGTTTTCCCCTTTGGCGGAAAGGGCAAACTTCCCCTCCATGCTTCGTCGTGGGGGCAGGGAGCCGTGAATCGAAACGTGCAGAGATGAAAGTGTCATGGTGTTCAACCCACCAGGAAGGAGGCTCAAGAAGAACAGTCGCATCGATGGTCATTAGATCTATTCAAGGGCTCTAACGGCGGTGGTCATACAAAAGTCTAGAGACCTCAATGTAATTTTTATTGTGTTTGAAGTGTTTTGTATTCCTTGTAAACTTTTATTATGAATCTGAATCTTTTTCACTAAAAAAACTATGTGTATTGTGGGAGCTGTCTCTTTTGCCTGTGAGAAAATTCTTGGAGGCACACACGTACTGCTCCGGACTATCACTCTCACAATCCCCAATCTCCATCACCACACCCCACTCTCTCATCCATTCGTCCCTCCTTCCTTGCTAGCATGGGAGGAAGCCATGAGGCCCTTCCCCGATTATGTACTCCTCTCGCAGTGAGGTTTTTCGGGTTCACCAGCATCAACTGGCTAGCTACGTTCTTTGAGACATCAATGAAGAGGTTCTTTCCGAGACGCCACATGCTACATCAATGGTACAACAACTTGGTGGTAAGCAACAAGCTTTTAGGGTATTTTTTAGGAGTTGACACTCATGTTGGGTGTGTCGATGTTAAGCTATATTCATCTTTGTTTCACTGGCGGACATGCAAATATTGAGGAACCTTGTGGTCCTCATTAGATGTCTACCGTGGATCTCATGCTCGCGGGCCCATTTGGCCTTCTCGCTTCCGAGTTAGTGTGATGTGTCTGCCCTTGAGACGTGTGAGACATTTTCAACGTTCTTGTCCTTCTACAGTTTACCAAGGCTAGAGGTATAGAGGTATAGCGGTGCAACCTCGGAGCGAGTGGGAACAACATGATTAGAGGACTTCGGGTTAATAGTGTTGTTTGGGAATTGATTTTTGAGATTTATAGAGTTTGTGCATTGCACATGTAACAAGTTGCATGTGTCTATAAGAGGTTGAGGTTTAAAGCAACAACCATGCAACCCCGCATGATTATGCCCAACAAATATATATCAAGGTGACATCCTATAGGGTGTAGATATGTTTCAATAATACTTTCATGATATCGGAGTTTGCCTCTTCCATCCACATTTAACCCATGGCGTCATCATCTCATCTACCTCAACTTCTCAAACCCTCGGGCTGGCCATCTTTTAGAAGCTCACGCGGGACAACTACGTTCTTTGGAAGACTCAAGGCCTTCTTCTCACCTGCGGTGCTTAGCTCGCCGGTTATATCGATGAGACTACACTAGTGCAACCCACAACCCTTGAGGTCATGAGGGTGATAAAATTGAGAAAATCCATAATTTGTTATGCACGATTTGGCTCGCCCAAGACCATGTGGTGCTCGGATACCTCCTGAATTGCTTTATAAAGTTGGCATCCATGAGAAGAGCATCCTAAGTTTGGACCTCAGTGTCACAAATGCTTTCGTCTTAAGGGTTGTTTGGGTTGCATCCTAGAACTGCCCAGCCGAAGAATTGGCATTCATCTGAGCACTGGTGATTGTTTGCATGAGCTACAGTTAATTAACGCCATATGCCCATCCACTTCTCTCGTTCATTCCATGTCAAATTTATTTGCAATAGCCTGCCAATGGAATCACACACCACCTTTTTGGCGAGCTGGTGGTTGGCATGGTCACCATAGGCAAAAACCAAACAAACCCCTAGTGTCATGTGTGAATTAAGAAAGTGTGCATAACTATGGCAAACATGCAAATTTTGTTAGAAATGTGCCATAGATGCAATTATTAGTGACAATTATATTTCATTATATCAATAAATTATTAAATATTCCTTGAATAATTCCATTTGCATTGATTGACAAATGCGTGACTTGTTTGTGAAACTTTATATATACTTGAATGATTATTCTAAATTGGGCCCTAGTCGAAATTCACGATGCGAGGACACGTATGAATATTATACTAGCGCATGTACTGATTGGTGACCATGTTTCGCGTGTCATACATGGATATGTCGAATCAATAAAGTGAAAACAAGTTATGAACATGAGGTTGGACAAACCCAACTTGAGGCATAGCGAGAATGCTTTTCGTTGTCTATTTCAATGTGTATGCTATGTCCTTAGATTTGGATTGTCGTGTGTACTTGAGATGTGCATCTTCTTTTCCAGAAGCTCATCTTGAAAGAACCTCCAGGTTAATTGTGCTTGGGATTGGGTAATTTAAGAATTGGTGATCAACTAGAAATCCAAAGTGTGCACGAGTGAGGAGGGACTACACAGGAAAGACTAGAGTTAGTCAATGGGGCCGATCTAGATCCAAGGTGGGGGCTAGCTAGGCATATCTCCCTTATACCCGCCAGCCAGCCTAAGGATGTTACAGAATGGTACTAGATCCGACCCTTGCACTTACTCGAGCGTGTGTGGGCCAATGACAGAGACATCTACATGGCACATGTGGGCCATTACCGAACACGACATATCACATGTGCATGTGTGGCACTGGTGCACATAGACATGTGTTAAGAGAAAATGTTCTTGTTGGGCCGACGAGGACATCATATCCTTGGGGGGGAGGCATATATAACATTCAGATTAATATGATTGATAGAGCAATCATATCAACAAGACACACCTTATTTTCCAGAAGCTCATCTCCAAAGAACCTCCAAGTTAAGTGTGCATGGCCTAGGTTATTTGAGGATGGGTGATTGACTAGAAATGATTCCGGGTGCACATGAGTGAGGACAAAACACGTAGAAAAGACAACTGATGACCTGCTGGACCGATGTAGATCTTGGGTGGTAGTGGCCTTATACCTGATAGCTAATCCGAGGGCGTTACATGCTATTAGCCACAACCAAAGGGCCGATATTGGGTAAATTGTGTCTCTATTCTCAAATCATGCCAAGATCCCATGGTGATCAGTGACCGGGGTGACGCTTCCACGACTAAAAATTACATGTGACTAGTGTATTACTGTTAGGTATCGACAAAATTGTCACCAACAACCAGCACAACCATGGGGAATTCACACCATCAGATCAGAACATTCCTCCATCTTCATTTTCGACTCCTCCCGACGGTATGGAGTTCTTGGCGTATGAAAGCTACAACAATAATACATATTATAACCCTCCGACCACTCATACATCAATTACTCCACCCATCATGGATGCCTCCTACATGTAGGGATACATCCGAAGGTGGTTTTGTGGGTTGTTATGGCTTAACACTACTGCAGGATGCTGCTAACGCGACACTACGATCAGAGACCCTTTGACGAAACTATGTGTGATGCATTAATCGCAAATGGTGGTGTAAAAAACCCTTCAAAAAAGGTGCAAAACGTTTGCGATGACGGATGCATCAAACACGGTTCAGATTTTAGTTCCATGTATGTAGGGCATATGGTTCAGTGCAATTAATCGTTTGCGATGAGGAGCAACAAAAGAAACGGGCAGGGAGATGAAGGTGTGTGCGATAAACAGCATACTGTTCATTAGGACGAATTGTTTGTGATTAGGCAACACAAAAGAAACGGTCAGCCAAATCAAGGTGTGTGCGATATGCGGCATGCGGTTCACGCGGATGAACTGTTTGTGTTGAGACAAGAGAACATAAATGGTTTAATATAACAAGATGTGTGTGATATGCGGCAAACAGGTCTGTAATCAGAAATGTGTGCGAAGACCGATAATAACACAGACGATTGCTGCTAATAAGACGTGTGTGTTATACGATGGGATTGCATACAGAACAACTATATATATAAACACACACACACTTATAAGGACATGGTTGCATAACCAAATTAAACATCAAATTACATAGGTGGCTACTACAACCATGGCATTTGCACACACCAAAGTAAACTATTATATGCATAATTTCATAGGTGGCTACTACACACATGACACTTCCACACAGTAATAAAGTAAAGTATATATGACATGCATGATTAACTAGCATAAACGATTAACTGGTCATCATCTACTTCTTGTGATGCTTGCTCTGCTTGTGGCTTGATCCGGACTCGTCGATTTGGATAACAAGGCACTTCCTTATGTCAACGATCCACCTGTGCATCTCGTAGCATGTGTGCACGCTCTTGGCCGCGAACCTGAGGTGACATTCATCCAGTCGCCGAATCCAGGCCCTGTGCCAGGATATGGCACTTGTTCTCTGTGCATCTTGCTTCATCTTTTCGTAGTAGGGGTCGATGATGGCCGAGGCGAATTCGACCAGGGATTCCTTCTTTGTGTTGCCCCAGACCCTGTAATGGTCATGGATTTTGACAAGGTTCTGTCAGGCCAAGCCCGTAACACTGAGCGCTTTTACATCGTTGGTGGTTTCCATCATGGCGAACTTGTAGTCGGTGTTGTTGACAAACCTATTGAAACGGTCGCAAGGCTCTCTGGCCATGCAGTAGTGGTAGATGAGGACATGATGGCGCATGCACAACTAGGTGAAGGCAACCTTCCGGTCTATGCCGGGACGACCGGCGGTGTACTGGAGGTTGATGCTGACCACCTTGTACTTGTCTTCAGCAAGCAACTGCTCAACGGTGTTGATGTAGTCGTCCACCACGGTCGGGTCGATGGTGT